TCCCTTGGTGCTAGCAGTCTCTCTCACCTGCAACTGCACCTGGGGCCTGCACACTCACGCTGCAAGCCTGCACCTGGCACACACCCGCTCTTGGAGCAAGAGAGGTGCAGCGCCCACTTCTTTTTTGTCCACTCAGAGGGCCAGGCCAGGAATCCACGCAATCAGAGCCATCATATTACCACACGCCCCCCTCACTCCTCACGCTCCCCACGCTCCTCGTCCTCATCCTCCCGCGACTCCTCACTCACAGCACGAACACCACCTACCTTACCTAGGTACTGCGTAGAAGGTACCTAGCACCGATACCAGCATCAGTAGCAGCCAGCACCAGCAAAACACAGCACCAGGGCTGCCAGCACTGCGAGGCGTGAGGTGTGAGGTGTGTGGTGTGGACCCCCCTCCCCCTCCCCGGCCGTCGACAGTGACCAGCCAGTGCGGTGTCTTCTACCCAACCCCAGTTTTTACTCCAAGCCGGCGACGTTCCCCATCTCCTCCCAAAATCGCAAATCTGCTCCGCTGCTCTGGTTTCCTCTGCTTTGCTTTGCTTTACTTTTGACCTGGGTCCTGTCTCTGAGAGTCTTAGTCTCTCTCGCTCCTCTTTTTTCGTCCTTCTCGCTCCTCGAGGACGCCGAGTCAGAATTTCTTCTCCCCGACAATTCTCGACACTGCGTCTTTCTCCTCTCCGTCTCTTCCCCGCCCCCAGACACAAGAGAGTGAGAGAAATAGAGACTTTGTGTGTGTGAGTAAGAGCTTTGTTCCAGCTCTTTCACACAATTCCAGTTCCTTTTTTTTGTTTTTTGTTCCCAATTCAAACCAGCCAACCAACAACCTCTCAATTCCCCGACTCAACAACACCACAGCCGCAGACACGGGCACGCGACTCGGATTGCCCCGGGCCAAGACGAGTCTTTTCCCGCCGTATCATGGTCCATCTTGCGACCGCTGTGACCCCCACAACTCACACTTACACCCGCGGTCTGAAGGCATAAACAGGGACAGGGACGAACGCCGTTCTCTGCGCCGGCGCGTGCGGGGACTTAGAACCAGAGCCAGAGCCAGAGCCAGTGCCCCGAGTAGGATTACCAGCAGAGGTGCAGCTGCAGGTGCCAGAGCAAGACCCAGCTCGCTCGGAACCGCCTTCTTCCACCGTCGCCTCCTCGTTGATCTTTCCTTGTTCCCCCCAGATGACAAAGGACAATGTCATCTAGTCTGCAGCAGCTCCAAAGTCACCAACTCAGAGCTGTCAGTCTCGAATACTCGCAGCACGGTCTAGACTCTCCCGGCGCCCATTCGCACCATTCCCATATAACAACTTCCTCGGCTTCCCACCAACCCTTTTCCTCAGGAACCCCAAATGACGGAATGCGGTCCAACAGCGCCTCTCAAAGCTTGGTCGATGCCTCCCGTTTTGCCGAGGACTTTTCCTTCCCGACTCACGACCTTCAGGACCAGAATGCAATCATGTTTCTCGGCGACCCGGACCACGCTACCGACATGTTCTCGACCTCGCACCGCCATTCCGTCTCTTCTGTGAGCGGCGGCGGTCGTCAAAACTCCATCACCGTCATGTCCGTCCCCTACGGCAGGGCCGTCGACCAGCGCAGGCACAGCGTCATCACCTCGGAAGACGGCAGCCAGGACGACCAGGCGGAACCCAATCCTCTCGAGGACAACGGTGCCGACGAATTCGGCTTGCCTACCCAGGCCGGCAATGCATCTGACTTGTCAAAATCCAAGGACGACAAATCCGACCAGACGCCCGCCTGGAGTGAGCTGAAGACGAAGGCCGGCAAGGAGAGGAAACGGCTCCCATTGGCGTGCATTGCCTGCCGCCGCAAGAAGATTCGATGTTCGGGAGAGAAACCTGCGTGCAAGCACTGCCTGCGATCGCGCATCCCCTGTGTTTACAAAGTCACGACGAGAAAAGCCGCCCCCCGTACCGACTACATGGCCATGCTGGACAAGCGACTGAAGCGCATGGAGGAGCGCATCATCAAGATTGTTCCAAAGAGCGAGCAAGACGCGAGCGTCGCCTCTCTGACCCGGGCTGTTGTCAAGCCGGCGATCCCAGGCTCACTTTCGGCTTCAAAAGCCAACGCAAAGAAGCGACCCGCAGACGAAGCCTTTGGCCAGGACCTTGACCACTGGGCAAAAGCTCCAGCCAAGACAAGAATCGAACCGCCAAACAAATCCAACACCCTCCAGGCCCAGGAAGCGGAAGAAAACAAGCTATTCCTCGAAGGCCTCGACGCGCTTCCGCCCAAGGAGCTCCAGGAACATCTAGCCGAAGTCTTTTTCGAGAATATCTACGGCCAAGCGTACCATCTCCTCCACAAGCCAAGCTACATGAGGAAGCTCAGGTATGCCCATCGTGGTCATTGAGAAGCTGAGTTTGCTAAACTGTTCTGCAGAGCCGGCACGTTGCCACCCGTACTTGTCCTATCTGTCTGCGCCATTGCAGCCCGTTTCTCCAGCCACCCGAAACTCAACAGCTCGTCGCCAAACTTCTTGCGTGGCGAAGAGTGGGCTTCGCACGCACGAGACATCTGCACCAGGCGGTATGAGTGGCCCAACATCACGATATTGACATGCCTTTTGATTCTAGGCCTGCACGAGTTTGGCACCTGCCACGGCGGTAGGAGCTGGGCCCTCGGCGGGCAAGCGATCCGCATGGCTTTTGCCTTGCAACTCCACAGGGATCTGGATCACGACCCCTTGAACCGAAATGGGGCGTCGCAACTAAGCTTTATCGACCGGGAGATTCGACGGAGAACAATGTGGGCCTGCTTCCTTATGGACCGTTTCAACTCGTCTGGAACAGAACGACCGACTTTTGTAAGGGAGGAGACGATTGAGATCCCGTTGCCCATCAAGGAAAAGTACTTTCAGCTCGACATGCCAGCCCCGACCGAAACTCTGCGAGGCAAGGTTCCTCATCCGGTATCCGCAGAAGACGGACAGCTCGCCGACGTGAAGGAGAACATGGGCGTCGCTGCCCACATGATCAAGACGATCGCCATCTGGGGTAAGATCATCACGTACCTGAACCAGGGGGGAAAGGAACTCGACCCTCATCCGATTTGGAGCCCCGAGTCTCAGTACGCGACCCTGATGCGGGAGGCGGAGGAGCAGCTGAACAGCATCCCCGACTTCCTGAAGTACTCTCCCGAAAACCTGCAGCTGCACGACACGGAAAGGATGGCGAATCAGTATCTGTTCCTTCACATAGCCATGCAGCAGAACATCCTGTTTCTTAACAGGGTGGCCGTCGCGTCGCCAAACAGCCCGGTTGCTCAAGACGTTCCCCGAGAATTTGTCACAAAGGCCGGGGACAATACATTTGCCGCCGCGAATCGCATTTCAGAAGTCCTCAAAGACGCCGAGTCGTACATGGTCACCGCGCCATTTGTTGGTTACTGTGCCTTCTCGTCGGGCACCGTCCACATCCTGGGAATCTTCTCTGGCAATCCTGCCGTGGAGGCGGCGTCCAAGCGGAACTTGGCAACCAACGTCAAGTTCCTGTCTAAGATGAAGAGGTACTGGGGCATGTTCCACTACATGTCGGAGAACCTGCGCGAGCAGTACCGGACCTGTGCAGACGCTGCCAGAGGAGGATCCCAGACCAAGGAGAGTTCGACGGCGTCGCCTATCTTCCAGTATGGCGACTGGTTCGATCGTTACCCCCATGGCGTCTCCCAGTCTGACTTTTCAGACCCAGCGACGGCCAAGAAGAAGGAGAAGGGCGACGATGCAGTGTTAGAACAGAAGCCGGAGTTACACACCGTCGAGGAGTTCTTCACGACCTTGTCCCCACCGCGCAGCACCGAAGGCAACACATCGAGACCCAACCCTCTAAAGCGAAAGTCGTTCGCCGGGAAGAAGCTGGGAACGTCGGGCATGCGCTCAGACGGAAGTCAATTGGAACCACTGTCCACTGAAAACATCGCTGCATCGGCTCAGGAGCAACTGAGTGCTCGCATGCAACAGCAGCGGGGCATGTCTGGCGCTCTTGGCGGGCAGACCAGCGGCCCCACCAGCTTCAACCCCCTCACCGTGCCACATTCCCAGGGCTCAAACTACCACGCCTTGTCCCCGATCAGCCCCATTGCTGTCAGTCAGTTCGGGCATCATCACCAAGGGCCCGCACCGTTCTACCCGCCTGATCTGCTCAGCATGTCTCTGAACCAGCAGAACGGGATACTGCAACCCCTCGATCGACAACTCGTGTTTGGTGCGTACTCGATGGAACCGGGCAACATGGGCCACTTTGACGGCCTCGACTGGGATGGCATGCCATCCAGTGCGCACGGCACTTCCGGGACACACCGGGAGGGTTCCCGCCCACGTCCGAAACGAAACGCCAGCGGTATGGGCGGACACGGCCACCAGACAGACGGCATGGGCTTTGTCGGCCAAGAGGCGTCGTCCGCTTGGTTCATGCCGTTCAACATGGAGCCACCCGAGATTGGGCAGGACATGGGCATGAACCTCGATGGCTTCGGCAACATGTTCAGCAACGGCTTGCACCACGGCGCGAGATGAGCTGGGGAGCGCACATTCAATCATATTGTCTTGTTTAATATCGTGATACGACGGCTTCCGCAAGGAAATATCTAGGGCGCCGGGTGTGCCTTTGGGCTCTGTATTATCTGTATATGTCTTGGACTTTTCATGTTTCCCTTGCTTATGACTATATGACGGAAAAGACGGGACGGAGCAGGACTGGGGACTTCATTGGGCGGGTCACAAAAAATCTACTTGGGTAGCGTAGCGATTCCGATATACTTGTGTGTGAGATACCAACCCACGATAATGCAGCATGAAGACCACTACGTTACCATTCGAATGTTCGTGATTATATGGAGAGAGAACCTTTGCATGGTATCGTTGTGTCTAAAAAAGAATATGACTACTTTTCTAACCCCGTTCCCCAAAAGAGTTATTTACGCAATAGACAAATAAGAACAGCTGACAGTTTTGTCAGAACACGCAGTTTTACACTACTCCGCAGCTGCACCTGCCTCCTCCGCCTTCTTCTTTCCCCTGGACCTCTTGCGCTTCTTGCTCAAGCTGGCGCCTCCGTCCTCGACATTCTCCTGCGTCGTCGTCGTCGTCTCGTCGGAAGCTTTCTTGTCGCTCTTCCTCTTCTTCTTGCTGTCCTTGAACGTCGCGCCCTCAAAGTCGAACGTCGGCCCCGTGCGCTCGTACTCGTTGCCAAAGTGCTCGCGGCGCCACTGCCTGAGGCGCGCCTTCTTGCCAAACTTCTTCTTGTCCTTGCGCTTCTTGTCGTCGTCGCGGTAGGGGGCCAGCTTCTTCAGGCCGGCGAACTGATTCAGCGCGGCGTCGGAGGGCGCGAGGAGGATGTCGCGTGCCGTCATGCCGAAGGAGGTCGGGGACGTCTCGCGGTAGCGGAAGCCGAACATCTCTGGCGTCTTGGAGGACGACGATGACGCCTCGGGGATGTCGAGGTCCATCTTGGCGTCGACGAGGGCCTCGAGCTTGGCGCGCTCGGCCTTGGCCGCCTTCTTGGAGGCCAGACGCTCCTTCTTGATGTCCTTGGAGGTCTTGCGCTTCTTTGACGGACGGCCGTCCTCGTCTTCCTCCTCCTCCTCATCGCCCTCTGCCTCCGCCTCGTCATCTGTGAGTGTGATTTGCGGGTGCTGCGTGTCGTCCTTGAAGTCGGGCACAATGTCCTTGATGTCAATGTCGTCGTCCCACGTGGGCTTCTTTGGCCTCTTCTTCTTGCTCTTCTTCTCTCCGTCCTCCTCCTCCTCGTCTCCCGAGCTCGCGCCGCCCTCGATCTGGGCGTAGTACTCCTCGCCGAACTGGCGCTTCATCTCGTCCTCCCACTTGTCGTCCTCCCACGCGTCGTTGAGGAAGCGCAGCCACTCGTCCTCGCTGAGCTGCTTGCCACTCAGGCCCGCCGCCTGCTTGATCTTCTTGAGCTTCTCCTCGGCCTCCTCGAGCTTGAGCTTGCGCAGACGCGCCTTCTCCGCCTTGCGCTCCGCCTTCTCCGCCTCCTTGCGCTCCTTCTCCAGCTCACGCGCCCGCTTGCGCGAGCTCGCGGCCTCCTTGCGCACGGTGCGCGCGTTGGTGATCTCACGCGAGTACGTCTTCAGGGCCTGGTTTGACTTTTCCGGGTCCTCGAAGCGGAGGTTGTACGCCTCCTCGAACTTGTCGGCCAGCTCGCCGTCGTCGCCCTCGCCGTCGTCCGACTCGAACGCCTTCCAGTTGTGCTCCCCGCCCTCGGTCCACGCGCGCGCGGCCATGAAGTTGGACAGGAAGAGCTCCGGGTCCTTGTCGGCGTTGGCGATGTCGTCCTCCGTGATCGCCTTCTTCTGCTTCTTAGACACCTTGCGGGCGCGGGAGGGGTGGACGCCGTCTTCGGTGGCGGCGGGCAGCTCGACTTCTTGTCCAGGCTTCCGCGTGACAAAGTCCCCGCCCTCCTCCTCCTCTTCTGACTCCTCAGCCGCCTTGTTGATCTCGGAGATGATGGACTTCTTGAGGGCGTCCTGCTCCTGCGCATAGGTCTGGGGAGGCGGCGCGTCGTCCTCGTCGTCGGACTCGCCGACGCCGCCGGCCAAGATCTTTTCACGGTGATAGTCTTTGAGGAAGAGCGGCTTCTCCTTCTTCTTGGAGGGCGTGGGCTCGGCGTTAGGGGTGTCCTTGAAGAAGGTGAAGTTCTTGTCCTTGAAGCGGGGGTCCTTGTTCTTGATGGCGGAGAGGGTGGCAGAGATTTGGGCGTCGAGATCTTCGGTGGCCAGGAAGCCTTCCTCGTCTTCGGTCTCGTCCGAGGATGAAGAGTCGTCGTCTTCGTCGTCGTCGTTGTCGTCATCCCGCTTGCCCGTCTTTTTGTACTTTTCCTCCACTGGTCATGGTTAGAGAAGCGTCAGAAACCAGTTCAATTCAAGGTGAACTTACGCCTGTGCAACTCCTCGCGCTTCTTGTTGTGCTCGAACCGCTTCGCGTACTCCTCGTTGACCTTCAACTGCGGCGCCGCGATGTCTGCCCCTCCATCTTCGTCGTCTGAGTCGCTGTCGTCCAATAGGTTGACCTTCTTGGGCACCGACTCTTTTGTCGGTGCAGGCGCCATGTTTTCGGTAGTCTCCCTGCTGAGGCTCGGCCGCGTCGTTGCAGAATCCCAATGGGCGGACGTTTTGGTGGGAACTCCAAGGAACAATGCAAAAAGCCTTTGGAAGGTCCTCAGAATCAATGTCCCGGAAGGTGGTCAAGCAACTTTTTTTTTTTCTGCCGCCCAGCGACGCCTGGAGCTGCACTGCGACCCTGTTCGGCAGCACTGGGTACGGAGGTACGTGCCTGGGATGGAATTTTTGGCGGGGCCCGGCCTCCATCAGTTCATCGGGGTCCGCAGCGGAATCGCGGCAGATTGATTCTCCGCTGCCCCTCTAAGGATTGGAGCTCCGAGCAAGAGCATTGGCCAACCTTGGTCGCTGCCTTCCGCCGGCTGGGGCCCCTTTGGCCCTTTGGGGGCGGTGCTTCGTCATTGTTGCGCCTCACCACCCTCGTCGTTTCAGTGGCCGAGCTGTGGTCCTACGTATCACCTCTACCACCAACCCATTTACCTACCACCTATCAACCCATCGCGCAAAAGGCAGCAAACCCATCCCAAAAATCCGCTGTCTGATTCCATCCGAACCGATCCTAATCCCGCATCCCCCGCAATCAAAGAGACCCTCCGAATCAAGGGCATTCGTTTGTCGACTTTCAATAACCGATAAAAAAGATGGACGGATCCGGCGGTGCCCCGAAGCCGAGCAGCAGCGTCAAGCTGGTCCTGCTCGGTGAAGCTGCTGTTGGAAAGGTACGCCCACCACGCCTACGGCAGGCACCACGATGAGACATGCTAAGGAATCAATCTTCGCAGTCATCCCTCGTCTTGCGCTTCGTCAACAACGACTTTCAAGAGAACAAGGAGCCCACCATCGGAGGTACGTAGAGAAAAGTCGCCGCCCGCCGCCTGTCGTTCGGGCCCTCGTCGCGAGACATGAACCTGTATGGCTAATCCGCAACCACTTGGTCTGCAGCCGCCTTCCTGACACAAAAGTGCAACCTGCCGACCCGGACGATCAAGTTCGAGATCTGGGATACCGCCGGCCAGGAGCGCTTCGCTTCGCTGGCGCCCATGTACTACCGCAACGCCCAAGCCGCCCTCGTCGTCTACGACCTCACGAAGCCCACCTCACTCATCAAGGCCAAGCACTGGGTCGCCGAGCTGCAGAGACAAGCGTCGCCAGGCATCGTTATCGCCCTCGTCGGCAACAAGCTCGATCTCACCAACGGCGCAGGAGAGAGCGCCGGGTCTGCCGGTGGCGACGCCGGCGATGATGCCGACGGGGAGGACGGCTCCGGCGACGCCCGCAAGGTGTCCACCGAGGAGGCCAAGACGTACGCCGAGGAGGAGAGCCTGCTCTTCTTCGAGACGAGTGCCAAGACGGGCCACAACGTCACCGAGGTCTTTACGGCGATCGCCAATGCCATCCCCGAGACGTCGCTGAAGAGCGCGAGAGGAGCCGGCGCGTCGCATGCCGTGAGCCGGGGCGGAGAGGAGCAACGGGTCAACCTCACCGGACCGAGAGATGCGGCGGCGAAGGAGGGATGTGCTTGCTGATTATGACGACAAACCGAGGACCTTGGCGAAGAAGGGAATTGCTGAACTTTTCACGTTTATTTTTTGGAGTCTCTAGTCTTTATGCGCTGCATTTCTGCTATAGGGTTCATGTTCTTTTTTTTTATGGGAAGCGTCCATCCGGCAGCAACTGGGAAAGCTCGTCGTGGGGAGAGCCACTTTGGGCGCGTGGACGATAATGGTGGTCACGTTTTGCTCCAGATAGTGCACACTATCCTTCCCGCTCCCAACCCTCGCATGCTTGCTATCCGTTCGGTGTGTAACATTGGTGGTTTTGTGTGTTTGCAACGGCGGCGGGAAGAAGACGGACATTGGGATGGATCTTGCAGGTCAGCTTGGAACTGATAGCAGTCGTCAGTGCATTAGGTAGACGGAAGTATCATACACTCAAAGACAAGTTTGATAGCCTTTTGTCTTTGGTCGCACTCCATTTGATGTCACTGCCGCCTGTGGGACGACGTCGTTGAGCGAGTAATTGCACCATGGTCTGTCCTGACCGGTGCCTGTGGCAGTGGTCGGTGGTCGGCGGTTGGTTAAAAAAAAAAACCCAAACGGGTGACAGGGTGGCCGAGGCATGCGCACAGGGCCACACGTGCGACTTCCAGTGGGTGGCCGTACGAATACAGACGGCGGCCTGTCAAAATCAGCCAAGTCTGAAGCAAGCACTGTAAAACAGGCAGGTCGGGGTGGTGAAGGAGATGCCTGGTTGGTCAGTCACCGCCCACGCGTCCCACCTTTTTTTCTTAGTCTTCCCGCGCCTTCGTCCACCTCACCTCGTCACCACAGAATCTTTTATTACGACGGGTTCTGCGCAAGAGGGTACGGGAGAAAAAAAAACTGTCCGCCAACAACACGCTCGTCGACATGACCGTGTCCCGCGCGACACGCTGAGCCGTCAATTCTCTTTCCATAATAGTACCTTGCTGGTGCGAAGACCCCGGCAGTCGGCCTATTATTCTACTGTACTTTTTCGGCCCCTCCACGTTACCCATGTATCCCTCGTCCTGATTTTACTTCTCGACCGACGACAATATGGCTTCGTCAATTACACCTGCTCAGGCTGAGCTCATCAGGTGCGTTTATTGACTGCGCAGGACGACGGTGCCGCGTGCTGACAGCAGTGATTCGGCAGCTCTCTCGCGCCTGAAGACATTCCCGTTAAGCTGCGATGCGCCATATGTAGCGAATTGGCTGTGAATGCCTTCCGCCTGCCTTGCTGCGAGCAGGCCATTTGCGAGACATGTCAGTACCACGCTCTTCCCCATCACGACGTCGACGTCGGTTTTAATCCCCCGTTAGGCCAGTCTTCACTACCAGCGTCATGCCCCGTCTGCGAGCACTCGCCAGTCTCCGCCGACGACTGTACGCCTCACAAGTCTCTGCGAACGACGATCAAGGTCTTTCTTCGAACTCAAGAAAAGAAGCGTGAGGAGGCGCGCGCCAAGGAGAAGGAATCTGCGCCTCCGACGCCCGTCGATGCGAAGCCGAGCGCGTCGCTACCTGCCCCGAACGAATCCCCGGCTGTGCACGCAGAGGCGTCTCCGCGACCTGCTGAAAAGGCGCATGCCGACGAGAAGACGGACGCGGAAGCCGCGCCAGCTTCGGCGACAGAGGCGAACGCTCAGAACGAAGCCGATGCGGCTGATGCCCCAAATAATGTTTGTGCTCTCCGCCTGACACGGGATGCTGAGCTCCGCTTACACGTTCACCAGGACGCGCAGGACCACGACGAGGAGCCCGGCCTCTCCAAGGGAGATGATGATGATAACGAGACCGTCATCATTACCGGCGACGAAGACGCGGCGACCGCACCCAGGCGAGGGTCTCAACAGGACGATGACACCGCAGAGAACGGCGACGACCAAGGCGACGACGCGAGCACGAACCCGAATATGAGCTTTAACTCGATGAACGGCGGAAGCTTCCCGAACATGAGCTTCAATGGGTCTGGCGACTTTAGCCAGATGCAGATGATGATGGCTATGCAGAACGGCATGGGCGCCAACTCTTTTGGCAACTTTCCTATGATGGGTACGTTTCCACTCACATTTTGCCTGCCGACTGCAGCGGCTAACACATCACCAGGTATGCCAGGTATGGGTATGGACCCAATGGCGATGCAGAACATGTACATGAACGGCGGCTATGGTCCTCAAGGCATGGGCATGGGAGGCTTCGGCGGTGGTTTCGGCTCAGGCTCCAATAACTGGAACGGGCAACAATCATGGAATTTCGGCCAAGATAATTTCAATTCTGCTAATGCTGCTGGCATGGGATCTGGTGACTTTGGCAACTATAACTCAGGATTCCAGTCAGGGTACAATCAAGGTAATTTCGGTCACCAATTCAATGATTACCGCCGCAACAACTACGGCAACCGTGGACGTGGAAGGGGACGCGGCTACTACGGCGGAGGCTACGGTCGGGGCGGATACCAACAGTATGGCGGCTACGGGGACCACGGTCAGATGCAACAGCAGTACAGTTCCAACTACGGCCAGGGCGCCGGTGACGCGAGCCACACCGACAGCAATGTGGACGAGTTTGGCCGCGAACGAAACACTGATCAGGACGAGAAATCAAACGCGGGGGGAGACAATGCAGATGGCGGAGACGGCTCTAAACCCGTGAACGAGGGCGGGAACGAGTCTGGCCCTATTGATGCATCCGCGCAAGACGCAGACAACGCAAACATGGCACAGGATGGTGACTATTCTGCCTACAGTGGTAACAACATGAATGGAGGTTATGGGCCGCCAGGATTCTCAAACCAGAACCAGGGATTTGCACAACCCGATGTTCCTTTGAATGCTCCCACGGGACCCAAGGCCATGCGTCAAGGCCTACCGAACACTAGCCTGCATACCCTACGGGCTCGAGGATACGTCGTCGCCGATGAACAGGCCCAAGAGTCGCCAGTAGATGGCCCTGACCAACAACAACAACAACCACAACAAGAGCCCAACGTGGAGCAGCCCCGATCTAGGAGTAACTCTTCAACGCGCACCAAAGATAAGGACAGGAGCCGTCGTCGTGACGCTAGCAGAGATCGTGAGAGGGAGCCCGACAGCCGGTCTGAAAGGGAATACAGCGCCCGAGACCGCGAGTACTCTAGATCACGCTCACGCACCAGGGAACCTAGCAGAGAACGCAAGAGCGATCGCAGTGATCGTGATCGCGACCGCGACCGCCACAGGCGTAGACGCAGACGCTCCGAGTCTAGATCTGTAGCCGGAGATCGTGACCGAGGTGACCGGGACGATGAGTACCGTCGCAAGAAGCACAAGAGCAGAAAGCACAACGCGTACGGCGATGAGGACGACACCAAGTCCCGTTCTAGAGATGATGGGTACGAGGAGAGATCAAGGTCTGCTTCCCCTAGCGACTCAAAGAGATCCAGTCACCGAAGCCACAGGGACCGTGACGAGAAGCGGCGAGACCGCGAGAAGGACAAGAATCGGGACGACGACTATGACCGCCATCGCAAGTCGAGTCACCGCTCCCACCGGGACAGAGACCGCGACAGGGACCGTGACTATGACCGGGACCGCAAGAACCGGGATCGCGATAGGGACCGCGAGAAGGACCGCAAGCGTGACAAGCACAGGGATCGCGACCACCGGCACCGCGGCAGCCGCAAGCACTCGCCGGAGCCGTCGCCTTTAGGGAAGGATTTCAACCCGCCCGCCGGGCCACGCGGCAACGCTTCGGGACTCGAAATCAGAGGGGCAAGCTCGAAGCCTGGCAAGTCGTCGGAACGACAAGACTCTGGCAGACGGGGTTCACAAGCCTCGGTCAACAGCAAGTCTGCGCCTGCAGCCACCAAAGACCCGCACGCCCTCGAGCGCGAAGCGAGAGACCGTGAGCGTCTGCTCAAAGAGACGCAACGTATGGCAGGCCTTGCCGGTCTTGCGGGCATCAAGCGCAGCAGAGACGACGGGGGCGGCGATGACGGGAAGCGAAGTCGCCGGAAGGGACGGCGTAGTGAGGCCATCAGTATGGACGACGAGGAAGAGCGTATGCAGAGGATGGAGGCCGAGAGGGAAGGCTCCCGCTTCCGTTAGCAGCAGAACCAAGCCGCGACGGGGGAGAAGGGTCGGAAGCAAGCGGACGATGCGGTCAAGAGGATCCTCAGTAGCTTGCGCAGTCACATGGCGTGCAATAGCAAGAGGAGCAGAGAGAACAACCGTGCCGACCACTAGTAGGTGAAGTCCGGCTTACTGTGGCTTGGTGGGATGCATTCCAGCTGTCCGGCTCCCTCCCCGTCAGTTATCTCTCGTGCCGCAGGCCCCCGGGACGGGACGAGAGCGAGCGACAGCGAGAAAATACTTGTATGTTTAGGGGCTGGCACGTTACATTATCCAAAAACCCCTGACGAGAGCGACTGCAAACGTTATTCAGCGGGTGCGGGCGGCTTGTGGGATTATAGTAGACTTACAAAGCTTCAGTGGCCGGTACGGGCTATATAGAGTTTATTTAATTGGACTCTTTGAGATCAGATTTGGTTATCATGACGTATTTTCGCGCTTGTCTGGCTTTGGTCTTTCGCTACTGTGCTCGTCTTGTCACAATCAGATTGCGTAAGACAGGTAGAAGTGGATGGGCAAACTGACGTGTGTCCCACATTGATGAGGAATTCCCTTGCCGCGGCTATGTCTCAATGAACATGAGAGGAAACATGCTCGTTGTCTGTGTTTTAAGCCTCACAGGATTAAGCCATGGTGTGGCCTTGGTGGCTCCGGAGAATCTCTCCTGTCAATGGTCCTCATGGCAACAGGTCAGAACCCCAACGCGATGTCGACGAATTCATACCAAATTGGTCGGGGTCGGGGTGCTTGCGTCACGAGCAAGCAGTAGTTTAAATCCAATACACTTGATTGACCGTCCACGGCTCTGTTCTCTCAATTCCAAGCGGGCTGGGATTCTTCAAGCACAAGCTTTTGAAGCTCTGAACTATAGAGAATTCTTCTGCGTCCGACCCG